AATTTAATTAATTAAAATCTGCTTTCTGATGATTGGAAGGCATTGTTGAGTTTTGTATTGGAATTTTAAGCAAATTACTCGATAAGTTATTGGATTGTTTGTATTAATATTATTGTAATTTCGTCACTGAAGCTGTGTTTTTTTTAAAGTTAACATTGATTAAAATAGTTACCATTATTTAACCAAATAAATTATAGGGAACAAATCACAAAAATGCATGGGACCATAGTCTGGACCCTACTCGTAGTTGTTTAAAATTAACTGTAACATTATGAGAATTCGTATCGAAATACCTAACTTAACTGTCGTGCGTGCGTCACTACCTATCTTTTTAAGCTAACATAAATTATCAAACACAGTTTGAATATTAAGTAAAAGAAATAAAAGCAAAAAATTAAACAGAAGCGTCGTGAAATATTTTAATCACAAACGTAACAAAGATCTCAAAAACCACATTCAAACACGAGTCCAAACTTCTAAACAAGCTTCCATCCAGTCCGAGCAAGGAAGTAAAATTCTAACAATCAAAAAGTTGTCTTCCAAACAATACCTTCGGCCATTGTGTGAAGTGCACGTGCATACACGTTTGCACGAGCACACACGTGCGCACGAGACGCAGCCACTCGTGCAGCTAAGAGGTTCTATTGTTTAATGCCACAATTACCACTGAATTCTGCGCGCATGAAAGAAACTGACCAAGTCGCCCGCTGTCTCTACTACAATGAATTTTCTTGATACTTTTTGATTTAAGAAAGTATTCTTTATAATTCCATAAAAATACAATATTCTAGAGCTTGTAGATTAAATAAGTGTGGGTATAGGGTAAAACCGTTCTTTAGAGGATATAACAAAGCCTAAGTTTATACAACACAAATAAAACCTAAATAATTTTATTACTCAATGCTCGGAATAGTGGATAGTTCATGCTGCGAACTCAAATGTGATACTTTAATCAATAAATCTGTTAAAGGAAAAGTCACACGGTATGCAGTCTGCGGTCAGGTATGTAGTAAGCGAGATGTGGTTACTAAACTGACCGCAGACCGCATCCATGTTGCAAATTTTTAAAATCTTACGATTCATCATTTCAGCCGTATGACAGCAGTGGCTGCTGAACATAGACCTTTCGCAATTCAAACAGGTAATAATAAAAAAAAAACATTCAGAAATAATAACAAAAATATCAACATTGCTACGTCGTAGTTCACAAATTTGGGCGGGCGAGTTGCAGAGATACGGCGGGCGGCGCGTCCGAATGATGCGCTGGCTCGCTGTGACGATGTTCGATTATGGTGGATTTATGTTTTATTTCCTAATTGTCACCAACTAGTTTATTAATATAACTTATACACAAACAGAATCTACTGAAATAAAGATAGATAAATTACAAATAAACATTATTGACTGATGAAAACTTGAGATTAACTTAAACTATGGTTACCATATTTGTATTAGTTTACTATTATTTATTAGCAACAGTGTAAAAATCATTTTCAGGAATCTTGTGTAGGCAACTCTTGCATGAATTGAAGACTCGACTGCAGAGTGGATGTTCATTGGATTTGTCACTGTTTTAATAATAAATAGCTGGCATAATCTTAAATACGAGAAACTGTTATAGTTACCATGTTAATCATAGCTCAATACTTAATAGTTTATTGCTTCCAAGCTTGTGTTCTTTTGCACGCAATCTTCACATAGTCTCACGCTTTCATGGTTATTACCGGGGTCTAATTACTACCACTTATTACTTCACTTAAAAATAACGATACACAGCTAATCCAAAAAAATTGTTCGTCTTTATCTAGTGTTACCCTGAGCGTATCCTCGTAAACCTTTCGTAGCCGCTCGCCGCCCGGTTCGCTCATATTTTTAAAGCAACTGCCAAAACAATGATCAATTTAGTAATCACGGCGTGTATGTACGGGTAAAGCAGGTTCGTTCAGGGCTGCCACCTGCTTAGCCGTTACCTTTACACAATCCACCCCTTTACAATCACCCAACTACCTACCTAAGCAAGTTTCTTTACCCTATAGTTCATGATTTTTAGCAGCAATTTCTTCACTGAACGTGTACTTTTTTGATAAATCAATGAAATTATCTGATTGATACAATTAGTTTTGAAAGTAACATGAATGCGCAAAGATGCAAGGTAATTAAGTAGCCTGTACCTTGATGTAAAAGGTAATCTTCTGTCGGTTGAGCTAAGCCTACTTACGCCCTGAAAAATATGTCGTAGAGTCAACAGAAACTTTTACGATAAGTAATTTATAATACTGTGTGAGTCACGTTAAAGTGTACATATGAAAATAGATGAAACTAGACCTATTTTTATCGACAAAAAAGTGGTCAAAAATTTTTTAAGATTTTTTTTTAATTTTTTATAGAATTTTTTTTCTTTCAAGTATTTATTGTAAAGAAAACGTAATAACTTTTAAACTAAGAGGTATATCCTGATAAAATAAAAACAGTAATAATGCTAAATAACAGACGATACTAAAAAATACATAAAATACTCAGAAAATGCCAACAAATAATAAAAAATGATACTTTTTAAAAAAAATCTGCTTAAAAATTCGTGTTTTTTTGGTTATTTGATAAACTCCAAAAAATGCCCCTATAAAAGGTGGTTTTTATTACTTTGAATTATTCTCTATCGTATTACCTTTGTAAAACCAAAAATCGCATGTCTCTATCCCTATCACAACATTTGCTATGATCGTTTGAACTAAGCCTCTCCGGGCGCGCCATTCAACGCTTCGCTAACAACGAAACTGAAAATGGCTCTAGATTTGTAATTTTGATAAAGACAAGTTAGATTTCAAGTAAAAACAAAAGATTTCGACGTAAAATAAGCATTTTAGTTAATATTAAAATTGTCCCTACCTGTAGAGAAGAATAATGTTGTGGTAGGCCTTTGTTCAAACTATCATAGCAAATGTTGTGATAGGGATAGAGACATGCAATTTTTGGTTTAACAAAGGTAATACGATAGAGAATAATGCAAAAATAAAATGAGTTTTACAATACAGCATATCTGAACTTTTCTTTGAAAACCAAAATGCCGAAATTGCGTCGGAAGAAACTTGATTTGACTTCTGAAAGTGGACGTCTTAAACTGATATTTATAAATTAATTCGTCTCATGGATTTTTCCATGCCTGGAAATTGTGTAGCTTCAACCCTACCCCCAAATGTGTCTATTCCACGTTTACCTACCCGCATTGTATCTGCCGAAAAAGTTCTCATTCGGCCATTGTGGTCGCCTTTTGTTTTATGCAATACCCTCTCTTGTTGCTAAACAGACTGGTGCTAATCCACTACAAGCCCGGACACACTGTATAAATAAAAATGAATTGATGTTCGTTAGTCTGATTAAAACTCGAGAACGGCTGGGCCGATTGAGCTGATTTTTGTTTTAAAATGTTTGTCGTAGTCCAGGGTAGGTCTAAACGGTGAGCAAATACGTGCGCGATATTGTTTTTCTGTGACAGACAAATTTCCACAAGGGCGAAGCCGCGGGCGGAAAGCTAGTTTGAAAAATATTTCTAATGAGATAAAATATTGAGAAAAGTTTTGCTCAGCATGATTAGTAATAATTTTTAGGTACCCCTAAAGCGTAGAGCAAAGTACATAGAGGTGTATGAGCAAGTCTTCAGATTACCACGTATGGCAAAGAAGTGTGGCCCACGGAGCGTGACGTCATCAACTAATGCACTACGCGACCTCATCAACGCGTGTGGGTGGAAACACACGCGATGAAATTTGCCTTTCAACCGTTGTGAAATGAGCGTTCCAACACTTCAGGCCTGAAAATTACTACAAGATAGATGTAACATATTCATAATCTGGAGTTTTGGAAGAGAACCCAAATACTCAAAAGAAAACTGTAATATTTGATTAAATTATAGATCTACATATAACTTCTTATAAAGAATGGTAGGTTAGATTTCACGGTGATTTAGAAATCAAAGATTGGGAAAACCTTCTCCCATCACACACGTCTTGGAAAATAGGTACCTAGATAGATTGCTGGAATTCAATTATTAGCATTTAAAATGTTTGTACTGATCTACTCGCAGTAGTTATAGCTAGTTCATTGCCCGTATAATATTGGATAATATGTTACCCATATTCTTTCAGGTGCTTTAAAACGTAATTTCAATCAATGGGGTTTATCTTTGTCGCTGAAATAGGTACTCAATTTTCAGCTACAACTTTCAGCTTTGTGGTACTTCAAATTATTCATTAGTGACGTTTGTCGGAGAAATATCGTTCCGTATATTCCGTAACCTCAGGTGTGCCCGCGACTGACGGCTGAGAAATAATTACGGCGGGAAAAGATGAGATGCACCTCTTTATTTAAGATGCTACAATGTGAAGTTTGAAAGGGCACAGGCACGTGTGCACTAAGCCTTGTCTAGTTTTTATGCCTGGTGGGCTAAAATATTTCAGTTGCTTTTAGAATAGACCTTTTGGGGGAGGCGGTGAAAACTTCTTGGTATTATACCTATTACAATTGGATAATAGAAACTCCTCCTTTTTTTAAAGACGGTTAATAAGTATTTAATTTATTACAGGCTAATTATTAGTAAGCCCTTTTTACCAGACGACCTGTATCACATCATATCCATTTCATTCTGCAGTCAAATACGAAAATACTTAAATTACCTTACTTACTCCTATCAATGCAATTACACCAGGAGTTTAAGCTTTAATTACACCAACGCGTGCAGATCGCCATCGCCGGTGCGATCATAGGCCAATGACAGGTCGCGCGACCTGTTATGATCGCTTATGATCAGGCTTATGATCGCGCCGGCAATGGTTGGCCGGCGTTGGTGTGGTTGGTTAAAGTCTCTAGTCTCTGTCTCTAGTCAGCATCTACAGCTTGCCCGCCACTGAAACCTAACTAATAAAGGTTGAATAGCAAGATAACATTCACAATATGCAAAACGTTTTAATATCCGCTAAACTACCATAAATAATACCCACACATCATCAAAGTAACACCACGCGTCGTCTCCCCGCAACATTTTCCGGATTGGTCGCGTTCAGATGCTGAATGTGAATTTCCACTAACTGCCTCACCAAATTGGTGGTGTCCACATTCGTATGGACGATTAACTCGAATATCTTCAGTTGTTCCAACGCTTTCCACTCATCTTTGTGCTTCACAGCTACATTGAATAATTCGTTCAGAACGTCCCTTGACTTCTTTATCATGCTCAGAATGAAACCGGCTTTGTAAGGCGCCAAGTCGCGGTTATGGTCCTTTATGTGTTGAATAGACTTAATCTTCCTCTCAGTGTCATGAATAGTTTGTTGCACCAGTGTTGATATTTTCGTCTTCAAATTCGCGTCTTTTTCGTCCTCGTAGCCGAATGCTCGCGGTTTCGGCTGAATGACTTCGTCGTTGCTAACTAGAAAATATCTACGTATGTCGAACGCTGAAGTGGTCTTAGTATTAGGAGTAGTAGCAGCCTTCTTGACGTCATGACCTGATTTTCCAACGTTTGATTTGACTAGGATCTTAAGATCTATCCGATTTAGAGTCATGCTGTGATGTATAGCAAGAATACCTGAATTTAAATAAAAATTAATAATTAGTAGATGGAAAAAGCTTTTTAATTTAAATAAAGCTATTAGACCTAAACTTACAAAAGAATGCAACGTACACAAACGTATTCATGTTTTTAGTAGTTTATACTTTCATCCATTTCAAGATAAAATTTGTATTGGTTTTGTGTTAATGAGATTTGATAACGGATTGATGAAGTTCATGAGATTTTTAATTAGTATTTTATTGTTATAGCATAGTGATAACAGTTCAAGTAATAGAAAACTGTTCTAAAGGAAATTACCAATTTAAATTAATATTTTAAATGGTTATGCCGTTCAATCGACAAGTTGGATTATATTTAGTTTTATTAATTATGATTTTTCTCGTGCTTCTTTTTTATTATATCAAAGTAAAATCTTAAAAAGGTAAATATTAAACTTTATTAAATCAATTTAATTATGAACTTAAATGTTTCGAGGATAGGACATTGACAGGACAGTCCAGTATTTTGGAACTATATTATATGGCAAAGTGAAAACTTCTGACATAATTTATTAATTTATCCTGTCATGACATGACATTGATGTTTCCTCTACATTTTGATTAATTTGGAGTCCAAATTTTCAATACTTTCGTTACAAAAATGTTATTTTTAAAAACATTATCAAAGATAATTGCACCACATTTGTCTCGCTTCCAAAAAACACAGAGTAGAACCTGTCATAGCGTATTTGACTTCAAGGAATTACTCCAACATGAAAAGGTAGCCAATACCTTGGGTTCTTGCCCGGTCTGTGAGCACGTAGAATTTTATCCAATGACCCATCCTTATCGCTCGCGCGTAAATAATATTGCTGTCGCGACTGTGCGACTGTGGGATCATTGGACAAAATTCTACGTGCTCGCAGACCAAACTATACTAATGGAAAGTGATGATCAGTCGGCCTATGATGCACGCCGTGAAAAAATCACACCTAAGACGACAAATGTATGGGCTTGTCGCGTGAAATCGACAAAATGGCGCGATAACAGCTTATCTCAGTGCGCATCCTAATCTACAGGCTTACTAGGTAGAAATCTGGAAGCGAGCTCCACCCGGAATCCTCAACAACAGAGAACTTCACCACAAAAATAATAAAGCCCATAGTGAAATTTAAGTTACATATTTATTTTGATTCCCAGCCAGACCAGTTCACAGTGCACCCGTTGACGAGCGAGCACCACCAGATGGCGCTGGATGCTATTAAGCGGCACTACCTTAGCGAACACGTGTTGGTGCGCGCGCGCAAGATGGACCTCAACGACCGAGCGCTGGACGAGTACCTCGTTAGCTTGATGAAACAGGGTTGGTCCTAGTTTTTATCGCGTGTCCCGTAATAGTATTAAAGTAAGACGAACATTAGACAGAAAAATATAAGAAAAGTAATCATATTAAAGTTAGAGCAGAAAAAGTAAAACATGGGAAATGGGTGTGTAATGTATGATATAACTACATCCCAACTAATATTATAAATGCGAAAGTAACTCTGTCTGTCTGTCTGTCTGTTACGCTTTCCCGCTTAAACCTCGCAACCGATTTTGATGAAATTTGGCATAGAGATAGTTTGAGTCCCGGGAAAGAACATAGGATAGTTTTTATCCCGGTTTTTGAAACAGGGACGCGCGCGATAAAGTTTTTCTGTGACAGACAAAATTCCACGCGGGCGAAGCCGCGGGCGGAAAGCTAGTANGGTAAATATGGATTGGGTTACCATAACTCAGGATTTGTCCTGAGATTTCAGGATTTTTGGACTCTTCTTAGAATTGCGGCCGGATTTAGCAAATCTAAGGAAAACTCAGGATATCAGAATTTTTATTGTTTTATACACTGCGGATCTTTAATTTAAAATGTAGGCAATGATAGGTAACATTTTAAATTAAAGATCCCTTTAATAAAAAGTTAAATAAACTAAAAGAATCTCCCTTATTTATGTGATTTTGAACAATTGAACACCAATTAATCCATTATAGTAGGGGAACCTGTTGAACCTTGGACAGAGTTGTACCTAAAACAATTGTATATATTTTTTAAATTATGCGGTTTTATGAAAAGTTGTCTAGGGTATTACATACGTTATTTGTCAACATTAACGTGTAGTTAGCTAAGATTCGCCGACGCCGTGCAAGTACAAGAAAAAATGGTAATTTAATATTTTACACTGACGCAGTGAGTTTTTGGAGGTTTACTTCATGTCAATTTATGAAAAATGTTGCATGTTTGACAAAACGGTTATAGTTAGAACATAATCTTTATATATCTAGCTACTGGACGATATGAGTTTCAGATCCTAAGCTCAAATGGAAGTGGGTATAGTGTGCTTATTAAGTGAAGTAGTCGCAATGTTGTACCTTGACCACCCAACTAGCAGGCATGCAGCATGCAAATTTGACTAAAAACTTGAGACTTCTGTCACGGCTCCGGCACTGCGGGGCTCTGGCGGTCCCTCGCGTGCTAATCGTCGCAGATGGCTTTCGCTCGACACCGCGTCTTCGGCTTGCTGGCCGGCTTCGCCGGCCAGCCTCAGCCGCGGCGCCTCGCTTCCAGCCACCTGCTCCTCAGCCCGCGGGCCGCCTCGCCCCTCCGTGCCTACGCGCTTCTAAATTACACTCTAGGGGTAGGGCAGACAAGACTACGTGGAGTCGGTTTTACGGCGATTCGTTTTTGTCACTAAAGTCATTTATAAGTCAAGCTAAAGAAGAACATACTAAAAGTTTTATCTATCAGAAATTATATCAATTAAAGAGTATACCAAATAGTCGTTATAACAAATAATATTTATTTTATGTAATGGTTATATGAAATATTATTTATATCAAACAAAATTACATCAAATGAGTCTTAGTAAGGTTTATATCAAATGTCTTTATGCGTTTTGATTGGTATCTGAAATGACATTATTAGAAATGATTTATTATATGAAGTAAACATTATATGTTAAAAAATTATATCAAGTGTTATTATAACATACGTTTATTATACAATATGAACGTTATTGAAATGAATTTATATCATATAAACTTATATAAACTGTCACGCACCCATGGGAAATAATGAGTGTCCCGTGCAATATTTCGTCTTCTACAGGGTGTTAGGTAAATGGGTATATGAGCCGACACTAGCCCATGTTAACATGGGCATATAATGGTAAGGTGAAGTCAGAAAATTGATATCATACCATTTATATGCCCATGTTAATATGGGCTAGTGTCGACTCATATACAATTTATTAATACCCTGTATTTTGTCTCCCACAAGTTTTTTGCTCTTTCATCATTAGATATTGTGACCCCATACTATGGGGCCCATAGGTCCATAAAATTATCTCTTGTCTCTATCAGCTCTCATCGTTTTACCCAAATGTCGTCCACTGCTGGACAAATGCCTCCCCCAAGGGTTTTCACAACGACAGGTCCTGCGCTGCCCGCATCCAGATATTTTCTGTACCACAAGGATAATAATGCAGTCCCGTTACTTTATACTTTATCTTTATCCCATCTCTTGTTCAGGTAATTCACTCTACGCGAAAGCAGAAGACGATGCTGTGGCAGGGGTGTGCGTCAATTTTGCCAGCAGCCAGGTCGACCCGAGGAATTTACGGGTCTACGCTCAATACAGACAGGTCATTATTAAACAACTCTACCACTATAGCAATCTTCTCATTATTACCTATCCTATTAAATATCCTATCAAACCCATGCATGAAGCCTCTACTGTGTCTCGATCCGCGCACTTGAAGGGTTAATGGCCAATAACGCTATCGCTCTCCAATAGTATGTACCTACTTAATAACAAATTACAATTACAGGATCCGAACATCAAGGACTTCTTATGCTTCACAGCAAAATTACAAGAAACGCCTAATCTCTGGGAAGCTTTCAAGCAAACAAAGATTTTTGAAGTAAGTTGGTCATCTTGTGATTGATTTAAGTAAATACCTATTTGAATTCAAGTTCAAACTTTATAGGCTTAGGCAATTAAGAAATCGGAATGAAGTATTTTCACTATTTTACGGACTTTTTTCAGATAAAAATGTTAACAGTGTTGCCCGAATACCGAAGACAAGGGCTGGCGGTGACTCTGACGGAGCGGTCGAAAGAGCTGGCAATCGATCTGGGGTACAAAGTTATCCGCATGGACTGCATTAACCCTTACGAGTAAGTACTTCTGTCTACGATATTTACCCAGTGAAACTGTGAACTTCTTGGAACCATTGAAGTTTATGGTGAAACACTACAAATCGTGACGTGTTTGTCCTGAAAAGAGCCGACCATAAATACGAATAAAGAAGGCTTTCCTTCCGAAGTACCACTAAATATGGTCACCCATCAAATTAAACCCTTCCTTCCTTCACTGACTGGCTTTTTATTGACGGTCAAGATGTAGATCCTGGCTGGACAGACAGGAGTTGCAGCGGTAGGAACGAGAGGTGGAAATAGTCCCGTAAACCAAATGAAACTAACATCATTTGTTTTGTTTTCAGTTACAAAGTGGCCGAGCGCTGCATGCTGCATTGCATCGTGAAGTTTCCCTTACACAAGCTGCGCGGGCCGCACGCGCCATACATAAAACGCAGTTCAGAACTAAACCAATGCGTGCGAGTGTACGTAGAGGCGCGTGCGCAAATTGACGCGCCAGATCAGACCAAACTGGGCAATAAGCTGGAATTAGAAAGCCTCATCGAGTGATGTGAAATTGTCTATGAGTACCATGTTATTTGTCTTCAAATAAATACACATTTAAAAAAAAATGTCTTGCTTGGTTTTTTGACAAGTGATTTATTTAGCTACATAAATGCAAATAGGAACTTTTTATGTACCACGTGTGTGTATATCAAACGTACCAGCTCGGAACTAAACCAGTGCGTGCGAGTGTAAGGCGCGTGCGCAGATTGACGCGCCAGATCAGACCAGCCTGGGCCATAAGCTCGACCTAGAGAGCCTCATCGAGTGATGTGAAATTGTTCATGAGTTTGAGTACCATGATGTTTTTTTCTTCAAATAAATACACCTTTAAAAAAAGTATCTTGCTTGGTTTTTTGACAGGTGATTTAGCTACATAAATGCAAATAGGAACTTTTTATGTATAGGGTATGCAAAACCGAAAGTTTATCAAAAACCGAATTTTTTTTCGGTTTTCAAGAAAAAAAACCGGTTTTCGGTTTTTAATCGGTTATTATCGTTCTATTTTTTTTCAATCAACTAGTAGTTACATACAGCGATTTGTTACGTCCTGTCCGTTTTGTGTTAGATTACATTATTTAAGAGAGGGTTATAACAGTTTTGATAAATTTAGCTTATTCATTAGGCATTGCACATAATGCATAATGAATAAGCTAAATTTAACTCAAGGGATGGTAGTTTATCTCCATTGTACGTAATAATTGTCAACGAATAGGTACGTTTTTAAAATTCATTACTCTGTCGGTTTAGTATTTTGTTAATTACCACCATGTACCTACGTAATGTACCTACATCAAAACCGTATTTGATTACAATTGCGATTGATATAAGCAATATCTTAAATTAAAAAGTAAAATAAAATGTAAAAAGCTTTATTTGTGAACGTTAGGTGGTATTTCTGTCAAATTCAATACACTAAGTATTACAGTAATAAGCTTCTGCAGATATCGCAAATAAATGAGATTCAATGTTCAAAACAATTCAGAAATAAAAACTGTTCAATTCACTCACACATAGGTTAATTATTCACTGCAATAATCACTAACTATTTGAATCGCGGGGTGGGTCATGTCAGGTGGCGGAGTCTTAAATAATTGTCGGGGATTCCCCGTTCAAAGGTAAACGACGGAGTAACCAAGTGACAATGTTGCCAAGTTATAAATTGTAAAATAACCAAATATTCGTCAAATATCAAAATACCCAGGTTATATTATAATAAAATGATATTGGTTATTTATGGAATTTGTTACGTGTATACAGATAGAAAAACCGATTTAAATCCGGGTTTCGATTTTTAAAACCGGTTTTAGAATTCGTCGAAAAAGGGCGGTTTTTCCGATTTTTCGGTTTCCGATTAACCGGTTTTGCATTCCCTATTTATGTACCAGTGTATATCAAACGTAGCTCGGAACTGAACCAGTGCGTGCGAGTGTACGTAGGGGCGCATGCGCAGATTGACGCGCCAGATCAGAGTAGACTGGGCCTTTTTTTGAAATATGTTGTAAATCAATCCTGAGGTTATAAGGAACCATTGGAGCCAAAATCTACTTGTTTACTAACGGAATGACGTCACGGCGGAATCCGTCATCATGGCGGATGCGTTTTAGACATTTGAAGAACAGACTAAAAAAATGATTTTAAAAGTGGATTTAAGGCGGTTATCACACTGCGCCGCGCTCCGCGTGATTTCATATAAAAAATCCCGCGCGCGGACGCGTTGTCAGTGTGTTGTGCCGCGCGTGTTTTCTATACAAACTGAGGTACTTGCATACAATGATTAAATCTGTCGTCCCGCGTACCGCGGCGGAGCGCGGCGCAGTGTGATAATCGCCTAAAAATTCTATTTACAGTCCATGAAGTTTGTGAAAATTGCGATTTTTTAATTTTTTTTTTATAAATACCCATTTAAAAAGGTGTCACTGTTTGATGGATTACGGGGTTGCAATCGGAAATAAAGATAATTTAATAATTAAATAATTTATTGAATAAACTGGATAGTAAATATTGAACAAATTAATGAGATATATCAGAGTATCAAGATAATAATAAAATTAGATCTTCAATTCTCTTTTTTTTTACACATTTTACTCGTTTACAATCCATCTTTTTAATTAATAGCCTTATTCACAGGTCTTATTAGTGCCTGCACTAACTAATCTAGCCTATGGTAATTAAAAACATAAATGAGCATTATGTTCTATCACAAATGAGATTTCATATCTGAGTTATATTTTTTTTTCAGTCTCTAATAAATGATTTTATTTCTACAGGGCATTCAGGATTTTTTTATTGACATTTATAATGAAACTTATTGAATATTGACCTTTAAGGAATGTAAAAGTTCTACTGCCAAATTAAATTGGTATGAACAAATTTCCTTATAATTAAGCGTCTCATGCCAGTCTCACTTCAGATAATTACTTAAAAATAAAATGAGTTATAGGTAATTATTATACCTAACATTAAAAGATCACTCCGCAGCGGGATTCAGGTATTTCTTGATGATTACATTGATGAACCAGTCTTGGGTAAACTGGAGGTGGTCTCCCGGCAATGAGAGGAAAACTAATTTTCCAGCTTCGTTCATTTTCTTTAGACCCAGACGATCCTGAAAACAAAATTTTGATAGGGATAAGTGTATGATAACGACGTAAATCATCATAGGCTGAGTTGCACCAGATAATTTTAACCGTAATTATAACGGTAACAGGCGTTTTTTGTATGGAATTTGACAGATTTTTGACGTTTGTTAAAGTTAAAGTAACATGTTGCAACCCAACCATAGAGTCGTATTATCAAAATATAGTTGTTTGGATGTTTATTTTACATTTAATTTTATGTAAATAGAGTTTATTTTTTGCAATTTTTGTCAAAACTTGTGCCACAACAGAGTGGCTTGAAATAGGTAGATAAATCAAACACAAAATAACAGCAATCCTTAAACGTGTTAAACCATTGTCATTCGGTCATTTATCTTACCTGTAAATAGAGTTCAGTTTCCTGCAACTTCTGCAACTTTTTGGCTTGCCCAGGCGCATAGAAGCCGAACCACTCAGTCTCTCGCGGCTGCACTATAGAGTCATTTGTAAACTTCACAAGCACCAAGTTCTCTAGGCTGTTCAGATTGTCTATGTACGTCTGGTTTATGGTCACTTCATTGTTTATGTCGGCGAGGAACTCGCTTTTCTTCTTGTAGGTCTTTTCGTCCAGCGGATCGTGCCAGTACGTAGCTTGGACCAGGCTGTTTTGCACCCAACTGTAAGAAGGAAAAGTATCATGGTTATTAATTGTAGAATAGTAGATTTTACGATTATTTGTTACTGTATAAAAAAATTGTGATAATATTGTCGAACTTGGACAAAATTATTGAAAAACGAAGGAAGACAAATAATTATATAGTCGATTGCAACTTTTTAGTATTAGTTTTATTATGTTTATTGTTTTTCATACTTATAGAGATTATGAGACATGTAGAGGCTCCTTAAGAGCATATTTTATGACGATTTGTAAGAACTATTTATTAGTCTAAACAAATAAAGAAATTTTGACTTTGACCTTGACTTTATAGGTAGGTAATAATGTAATAAATACATCAACAAGGAATCACATGATTCTAAAATGGATCAAATGTATTTTCTGTATGACGTTCACGTAGGTAGTTCGTGAATAAAGGCCATTGTGTTCCAAAACTGGAAGAAATATTTTAGCCATTTGAAATTCTTATTGGAGGACAATAACCAACTTTATTTTCGAAACTTAAGAAACTAACGATTCTTAGAAAGAGATGCAATGGATATCGACCATATATTAATTGTACTTTAGTCATAACTTTTTGTACATAATTCCCAGGAAATTATGAAGAAGCAACAAAAATCCGAAGTGTAATTTTGCATTCACAAGACATCTACCTATTTGTCGCGATAAAAGGCAACGCGTAAGGGCAGGCCAAGGTTTTATTATATCTTAATAATATGCTGTATGCGAAATACAACCTTAAAGGGTCTTGTTTTTTATGGAAATCAAACAGGTTTTATACCTACTAGAGAGAGAACCTAGACGAAGAACTAAAAATATTATAAGCATGCCTGATGAATATCAATCGTTGTGATGTCATTCTATAATAAAGTTCGCTCAAGTTTAAAACATTGAAGTAATATTACTACGTATAGAACAGACATCGCGAACAAAATATGTACAGTGNCCTAAGTACAACAGGTTCCCTACGCAGTGTATAAAACAATAAAAAATGCGATTTTTTAAAATTTCTCAGTACGTTTTAAAGAAAATTCTCACACTGCAACAAAATATTTTGTAATTAAATTTGATTATGTTCTTCTTTTATCTTTACTACGCAACTTTTTTGAAAACTTCTGACATAATTTATCTTGTCATGACATGACATTGATGTTTCCTCTACATTTTGATTGATTTGGAGTCAAAATTTTCAATATTTTTGTTGCAAAAATGTTATTTTTAAAAACATTATCAAAGATAATTGCACCACATTTGTCTCGCTTCCAAAAAACACAGGGTAGAAGCTGTCATAGCGTATTTGACTTCAAGGAATTACTCCAACATGAAAAAGTAGGCAATACCTTGGCAGCTTGGGTTCTTGGGTAGCTACTGATGAAAAGTAATGATCAGTCAGCCTATGATGGACGCCGTGATAAAATCACACCTAAGACGACAAATGTATGGGCTTGTCGCGTAAAATCGACAAAATGGCGCGATAACAGCTTATCGCGGTGCGCATCCCTAAATCTACAGGCCTACCAGGTAGAAAGCTGGAAGCGAGCTCCACCCGGAATCCTCAACCACAGAGAACTTTACAAAAATAATAATAAAGCCCATAATCAAAGTCCACCTACAAGGTGGACCGACGACATCGTAAAGGTAGCAGGGAAGCGCTGGACGCAGGCCGCTACCAATCGATCAACATGGAAAGCATTGGGGGAGGCCTATGTTCAGCAGTGGACGTCCTATGGCTGAAATGATGATGATGATGATGATGAGTCAAATTTAAGTTATTTTGATTCCCAGCCAGACCAGTTCACAGTGCACCCGTTGACCAGCGAGCACCACCAGATGGCGCTGGACGCTATCAAGCGGCACTACCTCAGCGAACACGTGTTGGTGCGCGCACGCAAGATGGATCTCAACGACCGAGCGCTGGACGAGTACCTCGTTAGCTTGATGAAACAGGGTTGGTCCTAGTTTTTATCGCATGTCCCTTAGTAATAAAATTAGACGAAGATTAGACAGAAACATAGAAGAAAAGTAATCATATTATTAAAGTTAGAGCAGAAACAGTAAGAGTATGCGCACACCGTTGCTTTAGTCGGGCAGTTGATCAGTATGGGCATGTATGGGAGTGCGCACACTACGCCGATTCGATTTGGCCGATTCTTCATACAATTTAAAATCGGGCACAACTATCTGCCAACTAAAAATCAACGGTGTGCGCCCACTCATGGGAAATATTGAGTGTCCCGTGCAATCTTTCGTCTTCTATTTTGTCTTCCGCAAGTTTTCTGCTCTTTCATCATTAGATATTATGACCCCATAGGTCCATAAAATTATCTCTTGTCTCTATCAGCTCTCATCGTTTCACCCAAATGTCGTCCACTGCTGGACAAATGCCTCCCCCAAGAATTTTCACAACAGGTCCTGTGCTGCCCGCATCCAGATATTTGCTGTACCGCAAGGATAATAATGCAGTCCCGTTACTTTATGGTAGGTACCCAAACTACCCAATGAAAAAAATCTTAATACAAATTATCCCATCTCTTGTTCAGGTAATTCACTCTACGCGAAAGCAGAAGACGATGCTGTGGCAGGGGTGTGCGTCAATTTTGCCAGCAGCCAGGTCGACCCGAGGAATTTACGGGTCTACGCTCAATACAGACAGGTCATAAATAAACAACTTTACCACTAATAGCAATCTTTACGTTATTACTCCTATTAAATATCCTATCAAACCCATGCATGAAGCCCGGTTCACAATTGATTTCTATTGTGTCTCGATCCGCGCACTTGAAGGGTTAATGGCCATAATGCTCTTCAATGATATGTTATAATATTTTAATTACAATTTACAGGATCCGAACATCAAGGATTTCTTATGCTTCACAGCAAAATTACAAGAAACGCCTAATCTCTGGGAAGCTTTCAAGCAAACAAAGATTTTTGAAGTAAGTTGGTCATCTATGTACCCGGCTACACTGTTAACTACTTATCCATTTCCGTTTTTGCTCTCGCTCTCACCAAATGGTGATTATTTGCGATAGAACGAGACGACATGACAGGCAATGGATAGTATTAGTTAACACTGTTGCCGATGGTACGCCCCAGAATACAATAAGCTTGTGATTGATTGATATTTGAATTCAAGTTCGAACTTTATAGGCTTAGGCAATTAGGAAATCGGAATGAAGTATTTTCACTATTTTACGGACTTTTTTCAGATAAAAATGTTAACAGTGTTGCCCGAATACCGAAGACAAGGGCTGGCGGTGACTCTGACTGAGCGGTCGAAAGAGCTGGCAATCGATCTAGGATACAAAGTCATTCGCATGGACTGCATCAACCCTTACGAGTAAGAACTTCCCTCTATGATCTCTTCCCAGTGAAACTGTGAACTTGGAACCACTGAAGTTTATGGTGAAACGCTACAATTCGTGACGTGTTTGTGTCCTGAAAAGAGCCGACCATAAATACGAATAAGGGCTTTCCTTCCGAAGCACCAATAAATATGGTCAGAATGGTCACCCATAAAATTAAACAATAACCTTCCTTCCTAACCTGACTTCACTGGCTGGGTTTTTATTGACGGTCAAGATGAAAATCCTGGCTGGACAGACAGGAGTTGCAGCGGTAGGAACGAGAGGTGGAAATAGTCCCGTAAATCAAATTAAACTAACATCATTTGTTTTGTTTTCAGTTACAAAGTGGCCGAGCGCTGCATGCTGCATTGCATCGTGAAGTTTCCCTTACACAAGCTGCGCGGGCCGCACGCGCCATACATAAAACGCAGTTCAGAACTAAACCAATGCGTGCGAGTGTACGTAGAGGCGCGTGCGCAAATTGACGCGCCAGATCAGACCAAACTGGGCAATAAGCTGGAATTAGAAAGCCTCATCGAGTGATGTGAAATTGTCTATGAGTACGTTTTTTTTTTCTTCAAATAAATACAAATTTTAAAAATTATCTTTCTTGGTTTTTTTACAAGTGATTTAGCTACATAAAAGCAACTAGGAACTTTTTAAACACGTGGTACACACGGCCACACTGTTAACTATCCATTTCAGTTTTTGCTCTCGCTCTAATCAAATAGTGATTCCTTGCGATAGAACGAGATGACATGACTGGCAATGGGCAGTTAACACTGTTGCCGATAGTCTGACTGTGATGACTGTGATGACTGGAAAGTCTGAGTGATGTTATTGTGTCATACTTCGTAGCCATTGGGGTCCATGAAGTTTTTTAATAAATACTCATTTTAAAACAGTGTTACTGTTTGATGGATTACGGGGTTGCAATCGGAAATAAAGATAATTTAATAATTAAATAATTTATTGAATAAACTGGATAGTAAATATTGAACAAATTAATGAGATATATCAGAGTATCAAGATAATAATAAAATTAGATCTTCAATTCTCTTTATACACACTTTACTTATATCTTCAACTCGAGATTCGTTTACAATCCATCTTTTTATTAATAGCCTTATTTACAGGTCATAATAGTGCCTGCACTAACTAATGTAGCCTATGGTAATTAAAAACATAAATGAGCATTATGTTCTATCACAAATGAGATTTCATATCTGAGTTATATTTTTTTTTCAGTCTCTAATAAATGATTTTATTTCTACAGGGCATTCAGGATTTTTTTATTGACATTTATAATGAAACTTATTGAATATTCACCTTTAAGGAATGTAAAAGTTCTACTGCCAAATTAAATTGGTATGAACAAATTTCCTTATAATTAAGCGTCTCATGCCAGTCTCACTTCAGATAATTACTTAAAAATATAATGAGTTATAGGTAATTAACATTAAAAGATCACTCCGCAGCGGGATTCAGGTATTTCTTGATGATTACATTGATGAACCAGTCTTGGGTAAACTGGAGGTGGTCTCCCGGCAATGAGAGGAAAACTAATTTTCCAGCTTCGTTCATTTTCTTCAGGCCCAGACGATCCTGAAAACAAAATTTTGATAGGGATAAGTGTATGATAACGACGTAAATCATCATAGGCTGAGTTGCACCAGATAATTTTAACAGACGTTTGTTAAAGTAACATGGTGCAACCCAGCCATTGAGTCGTATTAGCAAAATATCGTTGTTCGGACTTCGGATGTTTATTATACATTTAATTGTATGTAAATAGAGTTTAGTTTCCTGCAACTTTGGGTTTATAACAACTTATGCCACAACAGTGGCGTGAAATAAATACATAATCAAAAACAAAAACAACAACTGCAATGTTTTCCTTAAAATCATTAGTATAAAATCATCGTCGTTCGGTCGTTTATCTTACCTGTAAATAGAGTTCAGTTTCCTGCAACTTCTGCAACTTTTTGGCTTGCCCAGGCGCATAGAAGCCGAACCATTCGGTCTCTCGCGGCTGCACTATAGAGTCATTTGTAAACTTCACGAGCACCAAGTTCTCTAGGCTGTTCAGATTGTCTATGTACGTCTGGTTTATGGTCAGTTCGTTGTTTATGTCGGCTAGGAACTCGCTTTTCTTCTTGTAGGTCTTTTCGTCCAGCGGATCGTGCCAGTATGTAGCTTGGACCAGGCTGTTTTGCACCCAACTGTAAGAAGGAAAAATATCATGGTTATTATTGTAGAATAGTTGATTTTACGACCATTTGTTACTGTATACAAAAAATGTGATAATATTGTCGAACTTGGAGAAAATTATTGAAAAACGAAGGAAGACAAATAATTATACAGTCGATTGCAACTTTTTAGTATTAGTTTTATTATGTTTATTGTTTTTCATACTTATAGGTAGGTAATAAATACATCAACAAGGAATCACATGATTCTAAAATGGATCAAATGTATTTTCTGTATGAAGTTCACGTAGGTAAGGTGCCAAATACGTGTCCGTGAATCAAGGCCATTGTGTTCCAAAACTGGAAGAAATATTTTAGCCATTTGACGTTGATTGGAGGACTACAAGCACAATTACAAAGACTATGCATTTTAGGTGGTGTTACTAACAAAAAAAAATGTAATGAATGGATTAATTAAATTATCACCGGGCAATCTTCAAATTCCACTGACCACCATGTCTCGTTAAACACTCGACATTGGCGAAACCAGTGTGCTTCAAATACGCACCATTGAAGCCATTAAATAGAATAATAATAAAGACTATGCAATGGATAATGGCGATATTATTTGTACTTTTTTTGTACATAATTCCCAGAAAATTATGAAGAAGCAACAAAAATCCGAAGTGTAATTTTGCATTCACAAGACATCTACCTATTTGTCACCTTAGATTATAATCTAAGTTTGTCACGATAAAAGGCAACGCGTAAGGGCAGGCCAAGGTTTTATTATAACTTAATAATATGCTGAATGCGAAATACAACCTTAAAGGGTCTTGTTTTTTATGGAAATCAGACAGGTTTTAAACTAGGGATGTTATGGAAATGTAGTTTCGGTTATGGATACGGTTACGGATATAGAAATAATATTATACCGGTTACGGTTACGGATATTTCTTATTTCGGATATCCGAAAGTTTCGATTACGGTTACGGATATCTGTGCTTTACAATACAATTTGCAATAGTTTTCCAACATGGTTCATTCATGGCAGAACACTTTACATCGAATAAAAATTAATAAAAAAATAAAAATTGATACTAGATGGCATTATAAAGGTAAATCAGGCTGTTATGCCTTTACATTATAATGCTATACAAAAACAATTAAACTGCCTACATCCAAAACTATCCGAAACTTTTGAATCGGTTACGGTTTCGGATATATTTTTATTTCGGATATCCGAAAGTTTCGGTTACGGTTACGGATATCCATAACATCCCTGTTTTAAACCTACTAGAGAGAGAACCTGAGAATAAGCATGCCTGATGAATATCAATTGTTGTGATGTCCCTTCTCAATTAAGTTAGCTTAAGTTTAAAACTACATTTATGAGCGCCATTGCATAATTACGGTCAAGAGACTTTTGCCTGAGTAGTAAGTAAACAAATAATTTGTATAAGTAAGTAAATACGCATAATATAGTATCTATTCTAATCTAGAACAGCTCGCCAGAATATTATGAGCACCAAACATTACACAATTTACAAATAACTGTCTTTATTTTGTACCTACGTAATTTACTTCGATACATTTTATGTGTCAAGGAAGATCAAGAAATTGAGATTATGCATAAAATGCAGTAACTTAAAGAAAAAAATATGTAAGTACATGGCCAGGGGAAGAATCAAGCAAAAAACATTGTTTTTTAAATACAGCACGGCAAACTCTAGAGTTCAAAGATACTAAGGTTATCAAATTGGAATACTTGTGTTATAAATATTTAAATATGGACTGATAATTATTACTGTCTAGTATAAACAGAACTTAGGAGAATGACAAATCATATCAACGGCGTCGGTGTTAGTCAGGTCATCTGTCCATTAGGTGGGCAGAGAACTAGTAAACTAACTTATTTATTCTTAATTTCAGAACAATGTCTTGAGTTAGACCAATTTGACTAAATACATAATGCAGTGTGAGTCACGTTAAAGTGTACATATGAAAATAGTTGAAACTAGACCTATTTTTATCGACAAAAAAGAGGTCAAAAAATTTTGGAGATTTTATTTTTATTTTTTATAGAATTTTTTTTCTTCTAATTAGTTATTGTAAAGAAAACGTAATAACTTTTAAACTAAGCGGTATATCCTGATAAAATTAAAACAATAATAATGCTAAATAACAGGCAATACTAAAAAAATACATAAAATACACAAAAAATGCCAACAAATAATAAAAAATTATACTTTTTGAAAAAAATCTGCTTTTAAATTCGTGTTTTTTTGGTTATTTGATAAATTTCTCCAAAAAATGCCCCTATAACAGGTGATTTTTATTACTTTGTATTATTCTCTATCGTATTATCTTCGTAAAACCAAAAATCGCATGTCTCTATCCCTATCACAACATTTGCTATGATCGTTTGAACAAAGGCCTGCCACAACATTATTCTCCGCTACAGGTAGAGACAATTTTAATTTTAACTAAAATGCTTATTTTACTTCGAAATCTTTTGTTTTTATTTGAAATCTAACTTGTATTTATCAAAATTACAATTTTAGAGCCATTTTCAGTTTCGGTGTTAACGAAGCGTTGAATGGCGCGCCCGGAGAGGCTTAGTTCAAACGATCATTGCAAACGTTGTGATAGGGATAGAGACATGCGATTTTTGGTTTTACGAAGGTAATACGATAGAGAATAATACAAAGTTATAAAAACCACCGGTTATAGGGGCATTTTTTGGAGAAATTTATCAAATAACCAAAAAAATACGAATTTTAAAGCAGATTTTTTTAAAAAAGTATCATTTTTTATTATTTGTTGGCATTTTTTGTGTATTTTATGTATGTTTTTAGTATCGCCTGTTATTTAGCATTATTACTGTTTTTATTTTATCAAGATATACCGCTTAGTTTAAAAGTTATTACGTTTTCTTTACAATAAGTAATTTGAAGAAAAAAAATTCTATAAAAAATTAAAAAAAATCTCAAAAAAAAATTTGACCTCTTTTTTGTCGATAAAAATAGGTCTAGTTTCATCTATTTTCATATGTACACTTTAACGTGACTCACACTGTATATGATTGGACACTTGTAGTCAGTGATGATAGAAAGAATAAAATGTTCTGGTCATTTTGGTCAAATACTGGTTTTTATTTTAAGTTAATTACAGAAGTTTAGGTAAGGAACTACTACTGTTATTGCCCTGCCCTACTTTTGCCAGTTTGTCACATGTGTCGTAACACGTAACGTGGTTTCCTATGATGTAAGCTATAATCCAACTAATGTGTTATTTTGTAAGCTTATTGTGAGGAAGTCATAATACTGTCTTATTATCAGTGTTATGTCGTTTAATTTCACTTTT